AATAAAAATGATCTGGATATTTCTTTTTTTACATGGGGAGAGTGCATAGTGAAAATGATGCCAACATGATTTCATATATGTTTTTTAAAAGCAAAAGCAAATAAAAAGAACAAAAGCAGGATGTATGCCACATTTTAGATGGTCATTAGTTCCCCCAATAACAGCTCTGATAACCTCTAGTCACTGTCGAGTTCAGTTAGGGAAACCAATGGAAAAGTCTAGAACTTTACTAGGATGTTCTGAAAATGCCTTTCTGCTACTCTTGAAGGAAAAAAAAATCTTTGATTTGGAATCTAACATATTTGAAAATTAAAGTATTAAGCAGTCACGAATAAATGGTAATGAATCTCTGTAATTTCTTTAAGAGAAATAGAAGTTACATTAATCCGTGCTGACCTGAAGTAAATTCATCAGTGTGCACTCCTGAAGTTAATAGCAAATTATAATTATATAAAAACCTCCAAGCTTGGTTCTTTCTGAGGTTGGTAGATGCCTCTGGCAAAAGCATGCTGTATTTTGAGCCTGAATGACTTTTCCCCTATATGTCTTACCCCACATTGTTCCCCTCACCACCAAAATAAATACATAGCCCTACCTATTTTCTATGAAGATAAGTCAATTTAAACCAAACCTCAAAGGTAGCCAGAGAGTGGAAAAAAGGATGGGGGCCAGGGGGAGTCTGAGATGAGGGGAGTGTCTTCAAGATGACCCTAATACTTCAAAGGAGGAGTGTATGGAGCAAGCTTGTGCTGGTCTTATCCTTAGGTTTCATAGGCAGACCACACACTTGGAAAATCATTACTTGGAAATCATTTGTAAGTGGGTGATCACTTCTAATTTTGCTTCAGGGTTGCTGTGTGGCACAGTGAACGAGCTTCACCAAATTCACGCTTCACATCAATAACTTGCATTTCTGGGCTCCTGGAAATCAGAACATTTGCAGATGTCTTTGAAACAACTCTCTGGTTAATGCTGTGTGTGTACCTAACTTTTTAGCACCCAGAGGATCATGCCTCCCTGAATTACTTATTCCACCCACACAGCAGGTAGAAGGAAGGAAAAGTGATGACACTGTGACTCAGAGTAACATTTTACGAACACTGCGTTTTTGTTTACCATTTAGATATTTCTGATCATTAAAAAAAAAAGTGCTTCCTGTACCACTCTCTATGATATGTGATTAGATTCCTTCCTTCCTGGGCTGTTGTGAATATACTGAACTTGTAGTATTTAACTTAACCTGGAAAAGATGTTTTACATGCAAATTTCAATTTCTCAAAAACAATCTGTTCCAGTAACTCTCTTCTTAAATTTTTTTGTTATTCTAATTAATATGGATTATAACCTTCTGTTACCAGAACTAATTATTCATATATATGCATATTTATCATATATAGACTTATTTATACCTATCTTTATATCTGTCTATACATATATATAATTATTCATACCCCTCTTTTTAAAAAATGAGTGAGACATGAACAAATTAGGCAAATATAAAATAAGATCAGGAAAATGAGTTGGAACCAGAAATGAATTTGTGCACACATTTCCAACCCCAGAGTCTTAGATAATTCTGTCTATGAGCTTTCTAGACGTCATATCTCAAAGGAAACATGATCAGTTTCAAGGTTCCCTATTAGTTGAAATCAATCACTGCTCTATGAGCCTGGTTTTTCAGAGACGTAAAGGGCACCAGAACCAAGTACAGCGGTCATTGTGGAGTTACAATTTCCCAGAGTGGGGAATATCTACATTTTATTAATTAGCTTTGATGTGGCAGGTCCACAGATGTCCTTTCAGAAACCACTGAGCTAGAAATGAGAATGCCGTGTTTCTTATCTCTTATTAGTTGAGAAGCCCTAATGGCCAAGCTTTCCAGCAGGATTCTTTTTTTTTTTTTTTTTAAAGATTTTATTTATTTACTTGACAGAGATCACAAGTAGGCAGAGAGACAGGCAGAGAGAGAGGAGGAAGCAGGCTCCCCGCTGAGCAGAGAGCCCGATGCGGGGCTCGATCCCAGGACCCTGAGATCATGACCTGAGCCAAGGGCAGAGGCTTAACCCACTGAGCCACCCAGGCACCCCGTCCAGCAGGATTCTTTGTAGTGTCTTGCTCCTCCTAGTGTCTTTCCACTGAAGACTTCCAGCTATAGGACCAAGGAGAGCGAGAGAACCGGTACACAAGAGAACTGGTACAAAATCACCTACATGTGGATAGTTCTTTAGGCATTGCTCATTTTGCTCTTAGCTCCTTCAATATCATTGAAGCTAGAGCTTCAAGTCCAAAAAATGTTGTAATCCCTGGGAAAGTTGTTACTTTGTCATTCCTGGGAGTCTGCCCCGAAATATGGTATTTGCTAAAGCAACGCTTGTCAAATGTTGCCTGCACGTGGCCAAGTGGGAAAGAGCACAAAGAGGATACAGATCAGTGAGACTTCTTGAAAGGCCATTGTCTTCTTTGGGTATGATATTGATTGGAGCCCAAAAGTCAAACGTGCCCCCCGCCAGTAGAGAATCTGAAACCAATACTTTTTCCATTTAAAAATAAACACAAGCCTACTAACCTACATGGACTCCATTGGTTTCTGGAATAGATAATGAAATCCTGTGTTTCAGTAGGATCCTGTAAGCCCTCCCTCCTTTTAGATAAGAAATATAATAAGAATAAGACCAGTAATAAGAGCTGGTATTCATTGACCATTTGTTGTAAGCCAGGGATCACGCTCAGCATTGACCCTGTTTTAATCATTTCATTTTATCAACCACCTGAGGAGATATGTGCTTTTCTTTCATCTATTTTATTAATGAAGAAGCCAAGGCTTGAAGATATAAATAACTTGCCCAAGGTCACAAGACTCATAAGGAACAGATAAGAAAACCAGAATTTAACTCCTGGTCTGACTTCTAATGACTTGGAAATCTAACCACATTAAGTTCTGAGCCTGTTTCTCATTCTCAAGTAGCAGATGAAATTTGTAAGGGTGCAGGCTTACCCTCGGAAGGGAGGGGGACATCTGTGGCTTATGAAAATATGGATTTACTGCGCTGGTATTGATGTACCTACCACAAGAAAGTGTTTGGTTTTCTGCAGTCAAAAAGTAGACTGACCAAAGCTAGACCAAATTTTGAGTGGCCAAACCTGCCTAGGAAAGTATGTCCAAACTTGTAGAATTGTTGTTCTATTTGTTCATTCCTGAGTAACTTCTTTATACCAAGAGGAGGTACATACACACACACACACACACACACACACACACACACACACACAGTTCAAGAGGAGTGAATAGATCTTATGTGAAATTTTGTCCTAATTACTGCAGGATTCTCTCTCCACTGATAGCATTTACTTGAAATGGTTTTCAGGGTCGAAAGAACAATGTTCTCTGAAGGGTTGACCTCACATGACTGGGACATGGATTACACTTTTCCCAAATATTTTTGATATTGTTTATCTCAATAGGTATTTGAAGAAATTAGCACATTGACCCTGTTATTTTACAGATGTTATTGCTTAGTTGAAACTAGGTTGATTTTGTTTGTTTGTTTGTTTTTTAAAGTGGGAGTATGTTTAAAGCCCAAACTCTAAAAAGTTAAATATTACAGGAAACAAGTAGATACAAGAACAATTATGAAGTCAATGCATGTAGGTCTGAAGTTTGGAGAGAACCTGGTAACATTAGCTCTTTTCATTCATTCATTAGCTAAAGCCCACCAGAAGGTTCTACCATAGATGTGGATAAGTAACTTGGAAGAATAATAGAAGTGGGGAGGGGGCTATTAGTCTAGAATGGATTGTGTTGCCCATTTATTTCCCACCCTACCCCCCATTGTGTGGGGTGAGGGAATTTCTAGTGTATATAGCTGTACCTTTTTTTTTTTTTTTTATTTGACAGAGATGATAAGCAGGCAGAGAGGCAGGCAGAAAGAGAGAGGGGAGAAGCAGGCTCCCCGCCGAGCAGAGAGCCCGATGCGGGGCTCGATCCCAGGACCCCGGGATCATGACCTGAGCCGAAGGCAGAGGCTTTAACCCACTGAGCCACCCAGGTGCCCCATATAGCTGTAACTTTTTTAAAAACCTGTTTTTTTATTTCCGTCATGGGTAGCATTTGCCTTCCTCTTAGGCAACAAACTGTAACGCGGGTGTGTCCTTGGCTCTTTCCTCCCTTAGCATTTCATTTTCCAAGCCCTTTGTGGAACGTAAACGGTCCTAATGTCCCTTTCCCCCACAACCCTCCTAGTTTATTTTTCCTTATGGCCAGTGTTGTGGGACTGGGAAGCAGATAAAACAGTCATGCCCAAGTTAGATAAGATGCTTAAAAATAAAAGATACCATGAGCTGCAATTAGTACCCAAGGGTCCAAGTAATCTCCTTTCCTGTAATAGCTGTGCTTTAACCAAATGAGAATTTCCATGTATGAAGTGTGCTGTAGAAAAACCGCCCATTTACTCAGGTTTTCTCTCAGATTCAAAAATGACATTAAAATGGGAATTACCATAGTTTTCTTATATCATATTTGGAAAAACACATGTTTACCTTTTTGCCTTTTCCTGGGGCTCTCTTTCAGTCTTACTTCAGATCTTATCGGTGATTATTTTTTAAGATTTTATTCATTTATTTGACAGAGGGGGCATAGGCATAAGCAGGGGGAGCAGCAGGCTGAGGGAGAGGGAGAAGCAGACTCCCCACTGAGCAGGAAGCCTGATTCAGGGCTCGATTCCTGGACCCTGGGATCATGACCCCAGCTGGAGGCAGATGCCCAACCGACTGAGCCACCCAGGCATCCCTTATTGGTGATTAATTTAAAGAGGGATAGGACTTCTGAACTCACGTGATTTATTGCCATTTTTTGCCTAGCATCTGGATGATGGCTTGGTCTTCCTTGGTAATTGCTTTGCAGTTTTAAAGAGGATTAAAGAATGTTTCATTGCATATTGAAAATGCAACAAGTGAAATGAAGCATGGCAGACACTTACAACGGCGTTGTCTCTTCGTTTTAGATGGTAAGGTTGAGGTTACAAAAGAAGGTGTGAAGCTCTGCACCATGGGTCCAGGGAAAGTGTTCGGCGAGCTGGCGATTCTTTACAACTGTACCCGGACGGCGACCGTCAAAAGTAAGACTGTTTTCTTATTTTGCCAATACTTTGATGTCTTTTCCCCTGGACCTTTGAGATACTGATCACCATGCCTCTGGATCTCATCTTTGTGATTTCGTGAATCAATATTTTAATTCTTACCATGCGCTGTGGTTGATATAGTGGTTTGCCCTTGTCAGGGAGGGTTAACCATATATTCTGCAGAACTTAAATTTTATCACTGACTCACGGAAGTTGTTCTTTTAACTTAGACTTCTTATCAATGATGATTTACAATATGTTACAACTTTATAAACGGAACAGCGGCGGAGACCTTCCCTTTTCTGCCTTTAAAGTCTCATGCTAATACTTACGGAAGTTTTACAAATGTCTATTCTGGGTTACATTCTCCCATAAATTCCACGTGTTCATTCAGTGGTTTAGAAAAAATTTAAAGGAGAAATGTCCTTCATCTCATTCAAACATCATTGAGCGAGATAATAGCCTGAATTCTAAAATCGTGTCGGAGGATATTCTTGTCTTCAGCTGTTCATCAAGCTGTATATTATAGTATTTTTCTTTTCTACTGATTGAGCTTATTTTAAATCGGGGCAATAAAGCAGCTTGTTTCCCTAATTTTACATGTATGTGTATATATGATTTCTCCAGCAACTTTTATTACTCAGTAGAAACAGCTGCAATCCTTGCGGGGTGGGGGGCGTGGTTGTTTTAAGTACTCCTTCCTGACTCTGGGGGGCAATGAGCATGTAACAAACAGAGCTGCATGCAAAAGCCAACGGTGAAAGGTCCATTGCGTCCTTCAGCAGCTGTATTTCATGTTGGGAAATGATCTTCTGACCCATAATCCTGTAGATGACGGCGATCACAAATCACTTTGATTAGGTTTTGTTATTTAAAAAAAAAATTTCTTTTGGCAGAAATGACAGGTTATCAATTAGTTTTAGCTAGATGCCTTTGAATGTTTTGTACATCGGGGTTCTTTTTCTCCTTTGGATACCAATATGACCCTGAACCTTGGGTTGTAAACACGTGGCCAGCCAGCATCCCAGAAGTTGTCCTCTGTGCCTTGTAAGTGAATCGCCTTTTTACTCACTGAAGTCAGTCCCTGGGACCTCAGTTGCTGTTGGGGCACCCCTAGGATGAGTTCTTCTTGACATTTGAGTCTTGATCTTTGAAAGCACAAAACTCTTTTGAATGACCAGCCCCCCCTGGTTTTTATTTTATGTGATCACTTAATTACACAGCTCAAAGAAGAACAAAGCCCTGTGAACAGAACAGAAGCTGCCGCAACTTGAACTCCCGTAAAAGTGCCTTCAGTAGGAAAAAGAGTAATCGTGACACTATTAAGTGAAACGGATTATGCTATCAGGCTGCATTTTTCTGAGAAATATATTCCTTGTAGGTCAGAAGGCCAGAATAACACATTTTGATTAAAACAGTGTTTCTCAGAATTGCAAATAGTGAATTGTGCATATTTTAAAATACTTCAGCCTTGTATACTGCTCATTTAATCCTAATGAAAAACCATGATTCCAGAAAGGTCAACAGTTGGTAATAACATGTGCTTCATCTGTTGAAGCTTCGAATTATTAAAGAAATATTTTAATGAATATTGCAGCAAAGATTTTTTTTTCATGAGCTGATTGCTTTGCTTTGTGAAATTTATTAGGTTCATATAAAATGGTGTTCATCTGTTGTAGCTATCGGACTCATGTTTGATAAATTTAAACGCACACTTTGGATCTGATTCAGTGAGACGGAAATAGGTGTTGAATGCAAATTATAATCGTAACCATTTGGGGGACGTCAGAACATCTACGTCAAGGAAAATGAGTAATGGAGCGTGTTCTTAACAAAGACACAGAAAGGGCGCCTGTGCATGGGTGTGCATGCATGTGTGTGTGTGAGTGTGTGTGTGTTCAGAGTACCTACTTAAGATGTGGAGGTTGTATTGAGAAAAGAACCTAAGCTTGATGGAATGCAGACCCATCTTTGCATTTATAGATGCTCAGAGGTTTCTGCATGAGTAGGGAGTAATATCTGTTACCAAGATAGTCTGAACGTCTTGTAAAGAACTATAAGGTGTGAATAATGGATTATTTCTTATTCAGGACCTTTTGTCCTGTCTCCTACACTATCCAGGGAGATTACACCTGTGACCATGATCCTTAAGTACCGCTTTAAATTTATGTTTAAATTAAACTTTCCAGCTGATCACTGCATAATTCTGATTAGATTCCATTAGGAATGCTACTTGTACCAAATGACTACAGAATATAACACACTCCCGCCATGCGCCCCCCCAGCCGTGCTATCTTACTCATTATGTGTGCTATTTCAAAATGTCCTTATTTGGCTTTTTATATCCAGTCATTTCTCAGGATTCAGGATTTTGTCGACTCTTGTCCATTTCTTAACTGTCATTTCGCCGGTCATGACCGTTTCGAGTAACTTGCAAAATGGATTCAGCCACTTGGGTGTAATAGTCTAAGTCCTAGGAGACCGCCCGTCCTACTGGATGGCTTACATGGGTTGTGACCCTCTTTCTCTCAACATCATCTACTTTATTTCATGATCCCTCTCTCCTTTCTTTCCCCCTCGTCAGCCTGAAAGCCGCAGAGCATTTTAATGCATTTTTAATCTCACAGTGGTAACTAAATCCTGGGTGACATTCAAGAGCTCCTCAATGTATATGAGTCATTTCGTGTTCAAAAGAGCACTTTTTTTGAAATTGTATCAGGCCATGAATAAATAAATCTCAGTGACTTCCTGCTAGCAAAGATGATTTTATTACCTGTGCGTTTTTTTTTTTAACTTAGGGTATCAAAAAAGTTGTTTTCTTATTAAAGTTATAGATTGATCAATGATGTGGAATAGGATATACTTGTTCATAATGCTTCGACAGAAAGAATCTCCATAGTCATTTGAAACAAGTCCTTTGCTTTTTCATCTGGGAGAGATCAGCTGGCATTCCTCTGGAAGTAAATGAATATACACTGATTATGATGGCAACACTGGGACAGTGATCTGATAGCACCAAGAATAACTATTTTAAAATTGAAACCGTAATGACTCAAAAGAAAACCTCATACAATGGTGTAGGAAATCTATATTCAGAATCTATTCCTATCTTATAAAACAGCACCATTGATTTTTTTTTCCCCTTAGAGGAATGAGCATATCAAAATACATAAAAGTAACATTTTGTGGGAACCAAGTGTCACAAATGTCTTGAGGTTCTTCTAAACACCTGCAAGTTTTCTTGAGCTGTCTTTGAACATGGCCCTTTGGATGGCCCAGCCCATCACAAACCCTCCAGATGCCATGGGGAGGAAAAAAATCAACTGTTATATCTGATTTCCACAACACCAAACAACGTCTCCCATGAGTGTTTGAATTTCACATTTTATCTAAATGTTTTGGGATTGCGTAGCTGAAAGAGTTTTACTATCTGTTTTGAAGCCCCACAAAGGTTAGGGACTTCTGATCCATCCATTAAGAACTCTTGCTTCCTCAACTCCCATACTGAATCGAAAGCATGCTACCATCCTCTCTTCCTAAAATGTCGTTTCTGGTGTCAGTGTTCGCTACCCTCACAGCTAGGGCAGTATCAACTTATTGATTGCGTCTATGCCCAGGGCTCTTAAAATCACACACACACAGACACACAGACACACACACACACACACAGACACACACACACACACACACACACACACACACACACATTGAAGTTGCTGGAAACCTAAAAAGAGAATGGAAAGGCATTTGCCTCACAATGAGTGAGGGATCCAATGACCCATGCCCGGCGTGTGAGTTTGCAAGGACATTTATGCTATTGTCTTGTTTTACCTGGATTCCCCACAAGCATGTAGTCTCACAACTACATTGGGTTTTTTTGTTTTGTTTTGTTTTGAGGTTGACTTCTATGCCTCTTTGCTCCCAACTACAGTTGTACATGAATTGGGGGTATTTTTGCTCGAAGATACGAAATTGACATCTGTTCCTCCTACTTTGAGTGTCTAGATCACAAATTCCCCAACCTTAGGTGGCGTGTTCTTCAAACTGTCTCATTCAAATAGACTCTAATAAAACCCAGACCTTTGCTTTGTAGGAAAACCTCTCAATACCAGCATTGAGTTGAAACCATAGAAAATTACCTGCAAAATTTGTCTGGTGGGAGGGGTGGTGTGAGACACTAATGAACTGGCTTGAGCAAAATATCTGAGTAATTATTTTTCTTAGATTATTTATAGTAAGTATTTCAACATTCCTCAGATACTAAAATACTCACATTCTAACATAAAAGAGCCTAAACATTCTACAAGAAGTCCATTCTGCAGGAAAGTGATGACTTCAGTAACATCTGCTAAAAATATCTTTCTGCCTTCACTTTTGAATACTTTCAAGTTTACCTAAGCTTTCCCAGGATATTTGTATGGGGGCAAGTTGACGAATTAAGATATTTCAGTCTGTTATAGATATTTTAAGAACAAAGATCTAAGGTTTGGATTTATCAGTTTATTTTTGGATTTTTTTTTAAAGATTTTATTTATTTATTTGACAGAGATCACAAGTAGGCAGAAAGAGAGAGAGGAAGAGAAGCAGGCCTCCTGCTGAGCAGAGAGCCCGATGCGGGGCTCCATCCCAGGACCCTGGGATCATGACCTGCGCCGAAAGCAGAGGCTTTAACCCACTGAGCCACCCAGGTGCCCCTATTTTTGGATTATTTAAAATAAATCTGAGTCTATGCGATAAAATGGCTTGTACATTCCTGCGTAGCTTTGTTTCAAACCTGTTACTGAACTTGATTGAGAAGAATCTGTCAGTGGTCCAAAAAAGAAAACACAAAACAAAAACCACTAAAGAATGGGGAAAAGAAATAGAAAGATTTGAGTCACATTTCTTGCTCAAATACCTGTGTCCTCTAAAAGTAATTCTTCGAATGAAAATAGTACCTTTTATCAATGAAGGCACAGAAGAAACAAGTGCCTATTTTATTAATAAAAGGGAGTTCT